CACCTTATGTGTGTAATCTCAGTCATATTTATAAAAATGATCAACAAAGCATGTTCCCATCCTCTGCTGTGTGAAAGTGAATGTCTTACATGGTGATGTAAGGGGTTTAGAATTAGCCTGCTTGTAATTTGTGGCATCTACCCACCCCTGCTCAAGACTGTTGTATTATCACCACTTTGTTACATCCTTGTACATAGAAATTCTGTGGGGAAACATGTACTAAAAAATTTGATAGCAATATTCTTTTTTCCCCTATTTTTTAAATCTTATCTATGCTGTGACAGCATTCTGTATGCGAAAACCAATCCTCTGATTGGGTTGATTTTAAGTATCAAAAGCTGTGTTGTCTGATTTTGCTATCAAACTGACTTGGTACTGTTTTTTTTTATCGCAGACACGTCTTTTAAGGAAAAGATTCAAGGTACAGTGGGTCATGTAGACCTTTACTATATGTTAATGGTGTTGGGATTGCATGCTTCAAAAGTAGGAAAGTTTTATTAAGCTCCTATCCAGATGGCTTCACTATTGCCACTGTTTGTTTCACTCTTTTGTAATTGCTAAATGTACAGTGACTAGTGCTGTACTAATTGGGTGAATAAGATGGAAGATGGTAGAAGTAGTGTACACAAATTCTAAAAGTGTGCATGTGAAGCACTTGTACATTTTATGGTGTTAAATGTGATGCATGATGCTACTTTTGTTCAAAACTTCATTGGTTATATCATCTCTGGGTTTATTTTCACATGTTCTCTTAGCATTGATTCTTGTAAATAATGTTCATTATCCTTCTTTACTGGATTTGTCCAACTCTTTTGGTTAATCCCCTAAAAATATAAATCACATGAATGTGCATGTTTCATATATAGACATATTTTTAGACGCATAATTTCAATAGAACATTTGCTATTTCCAGGTGCCCTTCCCAGTGTCTCAGTCTGCACTTCATAAAGCAAGTCGAGCACTAGTTGATCGATCCAAAGCTGCGTCCTCAAGCAAGCCAGGGCACATGCCCAAGGCTAGAGCATTAAGGACACAAGCTAGCACTGGAGCAGCAACAGCAGCCGCCGCTGCAGCTGCTGCCGCAGCTGTGGCTGAGCCTGAAGAAGATGAAGAACTGGAAGAGGAATTTGAAAATCAAGAGGTTGCAACTGACTCACTACATGTCAACAAACAATCTGAGGAAGTTGATATGGTTTCTGAAGACAATTCATCTGCTATTGACAGTCAACCATCCAGCAGTGTTGCCGGAATGAAGGCACCAAACAGTTTAGAAACATCAGGTTAGTTTTTATAGATTTTCTGAATAGTAAGTAAAGAAATGTGCCATGTTTCTAGACTTGTTTCTCTAAATCTGGTTTTACTTCAGGTGACAGAAGAAATGTGAGGACTACTACCATCCTGGAAGCAATGAAGCTTGCAATGCTCGATGGAAATCCTGACAGTGATGACTCCCTTGAGAGGAAGATGAGCCGAAGATCAGAAAAGTTGTCTATGGAAATGCAGGTTCAAGCTATGGAGCGGGAAGATGAAGAAAATGCTTTGAGACTGGCCAAGGTACCTCCTTCTTCTATGAAGGACATCCATCTACCTCCTGCTCCATCTTTGGAGTTGACAACTGTTCAACTTTTGGCAAAATCAATGCCAGCTAACTTTTGTGCTGGATGTCAAAGAACTTTCTGTAACAATTCAAATCGAGATCGTCATTTGAAAGTGTGTCCGTTCCTTCTGCAGGTAAAGGAGTTTAAACAATCGAGTAATCAATTTGTTAACCTTGTTGTACTTCATGTTAATTTATTTGGTTTACTTCAACAGATTGCTGGTGAGGGTATTCCCAAGTTAAGAAAAGAGCTTGAGTACAGAAATCATCCACTGAACTTAAATGCTTTGCATCAAAGCCCTGTTGAGTTTGCTCTTCGTTCTGCACCTTCCCCTGATGAGAAATCAAAGCAGCAAACTGCAGAAAGGGCAGAGAAAGACAACCTTGCTGACAAAAAGACAAATAAGAAAAATAAAGACAAGAAAAAGCAAATAGTTGGAATCAGGAAAAGAGTAGTTCCAAGTGAAAATCCTGAAGGCGGTGTTATTATCAAAGAGTCTTTCTTGGTGCGAGTGGATTCATCTTCAAGTGATGCTCTGGATAATGATGCTAAAGATGACTCAGATGATGGTTCAGATACTGAAGTTCCAGTTAATGTCCAACTGACCAACAAAAACCGAAAACCAAGAAAAAGTGAGCATGTTGAGAAAATTATCATCAAACCTCCAGAGTCACCAAATGACACAGCAGACGTTTCCCCTAATGTTGATAAACATAGAAGAAAGTCTGGAAAAATTGCTGATGAAGAGGAGATCCGAAGGAAGTCATCTAAAACTTCACCTAGTGCTACAATTGATGAGGATGATTTACCCCTAAAGAAATTCACTCGTTCAAGGAATTCTAGTCCCCAGAAGGTTCCTGTTACAAGGGTAGACCGTGGCTCATCAGGTGGCGACAAAGAACAACCTTCTAATGTGGAAACTGGCCCTAGAAATTCACGTCAATCAGCTAGGACAAATGCTTCCAAGAAAACTGCATCAGATGTTTTGGATGCTGAAGCAGAATATGACACCGATGAATTTGAAGAGCTGTTAGACAAAATGGAACCTGAAGAAATCAAAAAGCTAGATCAGTTGTCACAAGCTCTAGAAGGTGATGATTCTGGTAGTTCCGATGATGATCTACCATTGGTTCCTAAACGGAAGGTGGACAATGAAAATTATTCATCAGATGATGATTTACCTTTGAAACCAAAGTCAAAATCAGACACAAGTACTGTTAACCTAGAAGTTGCAGAAAGTTCTGATGAAGAGGGAGACGCAAGTTCAAAGAAAAGTTTGAAAAAGAAGTCAACTGTTACTCCCACCAAAAAGCTTCAAGAAACTACAACAGAAGTGACTGATTCATCACCTGATCTCCAAACCAGAACTAAAGGAAAAACTAAAAAGTCTAAGTTAAATGAAGGAGAGTCATCTTCACCAGTAAAAGTCACGGTTAAAGTTTCAAAGGGTAAAAGTTCAATTACACCTTCAGATTTAGCTGATGATGATGTTTCACCAACAAGAAGAAGAAGTCTTCGGTCGAAAGAACTTGAAGAGAACCATGTAGAAACTGGAAGCAGTGAATTGAAAAGTGGTAGAAGAAAGCCTAAGGAATCTGCTGAGCAAGACTCTGAGCAAATTATCTCTGGGAAGAACTCGAAGAAACGTTCAAAATTAGAAAGTACCGAGTCAAGTGATCCCAAGGACAGCACGGATAGCACAGCCCAGGGATCTAATAAATCAATAAAGAAACCAAGTAAACAGCTCCCTGACTTGGTAGGAAATGACAGTCCTCTTAGAAACAGCACAGATATTCAAGATGAAACTACGGATGAAGCACATAGGAGCTCTGAGGCACCCAAATCAAAGAAAAAAGTAAAAACAGTCCCCGCTGCTCTTACATCTATGCCTGAACCTAATCCTGAAACAGTTAGTGAGCTTGATCCAAACCTAATAGGTGAGTTGACACCAAGATTAAGTAGAAAGCGTTTTAAGGAACTCTCTTCAACCCCAACTGCCACTGATACATCAAGGGGAAGTGTTGAGTCTGAATCGTCTCCACCGCCAGCTATTTTAAAATCCACTAAGAAGAAAAGCAAAACAAGAACCTCATCAGAAGAACCAGTTTTAGAAAACCAAACACCTGATGCTGCTTCTAAGAACAAAGCCAAATCAAAAACAGTGAAGATTGCTACTAGCCCACCTCAGGAGTTATCTTCTTCTTTGTCATCAAAGTCTAAGAAGAAGGTCAAGGGAAAATCAGATATTAATGAAGAGACTGAAAGTTTGGAAGAAAACCCTAGTTATGAAGATAAGAAAGATCCAGCAAAATCCAAGAAAGTCACAGAATCCTCTCCTGAAATTGATCCAAAACTAAAGTCTGCTAAAAGGAAAGGCAAGGGTGGAGTTGTTCAGGATGATTCGGAGGACTCTGCTGTAGGTCGAGGGAAACGTCCGAAATTGGATGAAAGTCTCGTTGACTCTGCAGATAATGACAGTGTAATTACTGGATCAGACTATTCTGAAGTTTCTAAGAGCAGTAGACGCAGCAGATTACGGGGCCAGGAGAACTCAAATGACTGGTCAGAAACTGAAAGCATAACATCAGCTTCTGCTGATTTAGAAAGTTCTACTGTGGGTTATAGATCCAAGTCAAGGCGAAGTAAGGAGGATACTGTCAGCAAAGCAAGTAAGAGAAAGATTAAGGAAAAATCTGACATTTCTCTTGAGGATGGAGATGACAATGAGAGTGAGCAGAAAGAAATGGACCTCTCTACAGAAGATTCTCAACCTGTCTCAAAACGAATGAGGAAAGTGAATGAAGCTGATGAGCCAATGGATGATGAAATGGCTATCATTAAGGATGATGACAACAATCATAATGCTGTAAAAGAGGATGCTAGTCAAGTTACATCAGAAAACGCAATTGTTCCAGCAACGAATATCAATGCCGACCCTCCTGTTGCATCATCACCAACTCCAGCAGAAGCCCCAGAAAGTGCCTCAAAACAACAAACCTCAGAAAGCCCGGAAAAAGATGAACTTCTTCCTGATGATGATGATAAAAAGACTACCAAGAAGAGAAAGAAGAGTTCTGTTGGATCAAATTTCTTCTGTCAAGTATGTAGGAGGCATTACTCTACTGCCTACAACTTCCACAAGCATGTAGGAACTGCTTATCATCGTTCAAATGTTGAAGCTCTTGCAAAAGAAGAGTTTGAAAAATCAAAAGAATCGGGGGATAAGTCTGAAAATGTTGACGTCCCAGAAAAGGTGACCGAAAATGAATCAGAGCCAAGTCCTATCCAAAAACCACCTGCTGATAAGGTGATGGATGCCTGCTGTCAGACATCAGAAGATGATGTTGCTCATTTATCATCAGAGACAGAAACAAACAAAGTATCATCTAATAAACTTACAGAAGGGGATAAATCTTCTGAAAGCGAAGAAGGTTTAGAGAAAGACAACTCAGTTCTCAAATCGCACAATTCAGTTGAAACAGTGAAACTACCCGAGCCAGCAGAACTAGCTAAGCCAGTGGAACCAGCTGACCCAGCAAAGCCTGCTGAACCAGCAAAGCCAGCTGAACCAGCTAAGTCAGCTGAACCAACTATTCCAGCTGAACCAACTATCTCAGCTGAGTCACCTAAGCCATCTGAACCAGCTAAACCTGATGAACCATCTGTTGCTATCAGTTCAGCTCAACCAATTCCACCACCTGTTCCAATGGAAATTGCTCCTGAGAGGGGAAGTTTAAATGAAGGAAATAATGAAAAAAGCAATCAAATTTCGTCTGAAACTCAAACAGCTTCAGAGGGAGTTGAAGCTTTATCTCATTCTACTCCTCTAAACTATCCGAGCACAAAATTACCTGTCGAATCTCAAGGGCAACAACATTACAACCAGCCTCATGAGTACAGTGAAGTTCGATATGGTCATCAACAGTATAATCAGTCTCAGTATCCGCAACATTACAATCAAAATCATTATCATCCTGAGCAGCACTATAACCAGGATCAACAATATAGACAGCCAGAGTCCAGTACCTCATACAATCAGCCGGACCAACCTCAAGTTCGCCAGTCTTATGACCAGAACCAACAAACCGCTCAACAAACTAGTCAATCCTTTGATCAGAGCCAGCAACAGCCGTCAAGTCTTCACTTTAACCAGCAGCAGCAGCAACAGTCTCAATCAAATCAACTTTATGAAATTCAACAGAACCACCAACAGCAACCTCAGCCTCCTCAAGTACAGCAACATCCGCAACAACATTCTCAACAATCATACAATTCTTACAATAACTCTGGCAACTGGCAGTCATCAGATTCAGCGTGGGGTGGCCCTTGGAGGGTTCCAGATATTGTTCCAACATACTCATCAGATGATGCTGGAGGAAGCATTGGCTTAGGTCTTGGTTCTATTCTTGATTCAGTCAATCAAGTTTTAAGTGGTGATGGTGGTATGTCAGATCCCTTACCAATGTATGCTGATTATACATCACTGAATGAATTGCAACAAGCCATTGGAGCCAATGATGAAGAAATGGCTGTCCTCAGGCAACTTGGTGAAGGTAATTTGCGTGAATTGATTGGGCATCCCCCAGTGGCTCCAGTAGAAGAAGCAGATTTGTTGGATTTGGATAATCAGAAGAAAGCCACAGAACGCTCTTCCTCTGGACCATCAACAAGTTCTGAGTCATCTTCTCAGACATGTCGTGTCAGTCCCTTTATATCATCTACTCGATCATCAGGCTCAAAGAGTGGTCAGTCATCAACTTCAGGGGCTGGTAAGATTTGTTCAGCTTTTACTCATTTTCTTTCTACTCATGACAGTTATTTAAAAGTTCTGTACTTAACTTTTCTCTCTCTGTCAACCTATAGGCCTGGCGTCAACTTCAGCTACAGCTCCACCTCGTAGCAAAGGTTCTTTATCCACTGGGCCAACTCTCAATGAACTGTATGAGGACAAACAAATGTGGTGTCCTTTCTGTCATCGTCGTTTCTTGGGCCTTGCCGCTATGAAAGCTCATATGGAGAGTTTCCATGCCCAGGCTGGTGATGGTAAGTGCTTTCTTGCAAGATTTTTATGTCTCTTTTTCAACAAAGCTTACTTATTTTTTTTCCATCTGCGCTAGGCCGAAAGTTTGAACGCCGTTCTTTGGCATTATCAACTGAAGGAAGCAGTGAACCTCGCCTGTGCTGTAGTGTGTGTAAAGAAATGTTAGCTGATGAAAAAGCTTTGGAAAGGCACAATGAAGAAATGCATACACCAGGTCGAGAACCTCAACCCCAAAATAAACGGTTTGTTTTTACTTTTGTCTTTAATTGTAGTGTTTTCAATTCGCTCAATACCTCTATATATGTACTACATATATTGATCTATCAAAATCAAACGCTAAAATTCCTGTTTTCCCATCGAAACAGTGAGGGCCTACGCACTCAGATGTCTTCAGCTCTTGGTGGCCTGCTTGATCGCGCCCTGAAAAGCTATCTGAGCAAGTCTTGCGGACCAAATGCTTCAAACTCTGTTGAAACAGACAAGAGGTATGTCTTTGTAAAGGTGTGTATATAGTTAAAAATTTTAGCAATGTAGATGAATGACCCCTTTTTTTCTTTCCTATGCTTTGCAGCCGCTTGACTTTGGGTATATTGAGCAAACTAGCATTGCGCCATCAATCAGGAAACCTCTCTCTACCAAGCGGTAGTGGCGTTAGTATTGGAACTATTGGTGGAGGGAGTGGATCCACTACAGACATGCTAGTTGGCCAGCTTGTTGCTGCTAAACTTGGAATGAGACGTAGCAGTGGCAGCATGCGCCGAAGACCGAGCGGGGCAAGTAGCCCTGGCACTGACGGGAGCTTTGGCTGCCCAGTTTGTCATGACAGGCAAGTATCAAATGTTAGCCCCAGCTTTCGTACCGTTAGACTTACGTGTAGTTTAGTAATATTACTTATTACGTCCTCAGTAGATTTGCTACCGTTTTTGACTTGACTACCCAGTTTTCTAAGACAATTTTTCATCTCAGGTTCCAGTTTGAAGGTGCTATGAAGAGGCATTTAAATCATGCCCACAAACGTTCATCTGATCTTCAAGAGGACAGTTTGTCAGGTACCCATTCAAATTACTTTATTCTTCCTCAACAGCATGAATACCTTTATGATTCATTTTGTACAGCATGTTAGACTTTGAATAGCATTGTTTTTACCTTTTGTTTTGATATCTTGACAAGTTTTTCATATTGCATTTAAAAGAATTTGTTGGATGATCTTTCTTATACCTTTTCAAGTTTTGTATAAATTTTTGAGTAAATTTGGTCAATTGTCATTGATTAGTTCTGCCCTGAAACTATGACTTTAATTGTAGAAAGATTATTCTGTAAAATTTTAAAAACATTTGTAGCAGTAGTGTTGACGTGTTGCTTTGTGGCCCCCTGCAGCCCCCGAGTCCCGGCCAGACAGCCCCATGGAGATGTGTATGGAGCCAGCAGTGGGATTGGATGGGGCCTTCTTGTGTTCAGGTTAGCTCAGTTGTGCTTTTGCATGAGACTTCATAGTCAATTAGTGTATCTACAAAGCGTGTTCATTGAATGATTGTAGATGAGCTCAGTAATTTGTTCTGCTCTTTTGTTATCCCTAGTATTTTTTTTATTTTTTTTATTTTTAAGTTATGGCACTTTAGATGTTATTTTGTTTGCTTATTTTTATTTATTTTATTTTTTTAACTATTTACAGTCTGCGGCATCACTTTCAAGACACCTAGTGAAGTTATGGAACATCAACGCTTGGAACATCAACTCAACAGGCGGACATCTCGGGAAGATGAAGCTGAATTAGACGCTGATGAACTTGATGCAGAAACAGCTGAGAAGGCAGAGAAGTGGATTGAAAACCATACCAAACTGCAAAGCTCACCAAAGGGGCGTCACCCATTAGGCAAGGATGTGAAGAACAGGAAAGTCGCCATTGCAGTGGAATCAGCCCTTTTAGAAAAAACTGAAGAAATGAGAATCAAGGCAGAGGCTGCCCTCAGAGAACTAAATCAAACACGCAAACCACCCAAGGGTAGTTCCAAAGAAGCCAAGTGGGGTGTGGATGCAGTTAAGTTCACTGTTACCAAGGAGCCGCCTCTTGTTGGAGTTTTTGGTCCAACCTTGGAAAATGAAACCAGACAAATAAGCATCCCTGTTGTTCGTAAACAACCAAACAATACCACACGCTTCTCTTTCATGGCTGAACGGAAGAAAGCTGGTGGCTCTAAAGGGGGAGATGATGGTAAATCAGAGAAAGAAAAGATCGATGTTTACGAGTTTGACGATGCGAACAGAGGGGCTTCCTCCAAGCAGCAGCATACTACAGACCCTACTGCCACCAGTGGGGATACGATCGAACCTCCAAAGAAGAAGAAACGTGCTCCGAAAAAAGAGACTCAGGCCAAAAAAGCTGCAGCAGAGAAGTCCAACAACACTACTGACAATGCCTCTGAAACTGGCGGAGACAACCCTAAACCGAAACCAAAACCGAAGCCAAGACAGCGACCGAGCAAAAAGGCGAAGGAACTTGCAGCAAAACAAGCTGCCGAGATATCTGCAGCCTCCACCCAGACGACATCAGTGTCATCTATAACATCATCTATCCAACCGTTAGATAAGAATCAGACCCCACAGGCCCAGACCCTGTCGCAGTCAATATTACCCCAGCAGCAACATCATTTACAGCAGCCTGCTGAGGCCTCAGCTCCTGCCCAGGCCCCTGTCCCGGTCCAGGCCCTGGCCCCAGCCCCGGTCCCAGTGCCCCAGCCTCGAGACCCCCAACCCCTGACGTCGGTAGAGGGGCCCCCGGCTCCCCATGATGCAAAGGAGCAGTCAGAGGTAGGCAATTCTTGTCGTTCTCCCCGAGCGAAAGCGTCTCTTAAACCTGGTTTCAGTGTCCTTGTCCGGGAGGAGCAGCCTCTGCCTCTTCCGACGAGAGCGCCCCGGCGCGCCAGCATGCATGACGTCACTGACTATAGTGTGTTTGATTTTAGCAGTGACGAGAGCACCACGGACGAAGAGCTGCTCATCCACCCCGACGCCCCCTCGGCCCGCTCACGACCTCGTGCCCCTGTGCGCCCTCGTGCCTCTGGCCCCGCCCCTGCCGCCCCTGCCCCTCGCAGTCTCGGCCCCAAGGCGACCCGGGTGAGGCAGCTGGTGGAAGAGGACTGGACCTGGCTGGAGGAGGACAGCGACGAGTTCGAGCGCGAGATGAGACAGCAGCGCAGCGCGCGGAGGAAGCGCGCCAAGCGGGCCAAGTCTGAGTCATTGGCCCAGGTCCAGGCCAAGCAGCTACTCAGATACCAAAACTAGGAAAGTATTTCTCTTAATCTCGAATGTGTAATGGGGAGATATGTTAAAACTGAATATTTTTTAGTCTAGTTAGCCACCAACTCAACTGGTAGAGGTGGGCAAGCAATGTGGCAGTGTGTTGTGTCCAGTATGTAGTCAATGCACTAGCATCTATCTGTGATGAATGGGAAATAGCCTTACAGCTATTTTGTTTTATGTGTAGTGACCGGAAGACTGATGTAACTGAGTAGTATGAGAAAATCTGAGAGAACAATTCCCTTAGCCATAAGATTTTCTTCTTTCTCTATACATAATGTTAAGGTTAAATGATAATATTCAATTGTAGAGCATTGTGCCAGTTTTGTTTTTAAAATATAAACTTGGTTCTATTTTTTTTCTTCTCTCAGATGAACATGCACTTAAAATATCTCTGATTAGGAGTGTGCGTGCGTGTATGTGTGTGTGTGTGTAGTAACCAAATGATCTGGTCTTATTTTGTCAGGTAAACATTTTGTACAGATACTGTTGACAGGGGTGAAAATTGTACTTTTTTCTTCTTCCATTGCTAGAAGTGGGAAAGCTGTATAAATAAATTATAGTTTAGTTTTGAGTATTTCTTTATAAGTATACAACTTTGTGATCTCGTGACAGAGAGCTCAACTCAAATGTTGAGCAGCAGCCATTATTTTGTGGAAAAGTGAACTTTCTTTGAAAACACTTTTAATTACTGCCAAGTATTTTAGTTTTATGAGAATTGTGTTCAAGTGACTAGCTCGATTTTCCTAATGGTGCTCATTTCCAGGATTTATTTCTCTATTGATACCTCTACTGTTAGTGATTGTATTTTAACTGTGCCTACTTGTACATATTCCACGACAATATATTATATAATTACTGCCAGAGAGTGCCTTTCCTCCCATGTAGAAACAAGAACAAAACTATTTTCATTTTTTGTTTATCTGTGCTTGAGTGTGTGTATATTTTCAAAGAGGGGCAAATAAACTTTATTGGTTACTTAGAACATATCTTAAAAACGCTTCTGTGATGCAATGGCACTGTCTTTTGGTGGACCGATATGTATATGTAAGCTGTCACTGCCAAATAGGGAGCTAAGTCCATCGTAGGTACTAATGCTGTGCTTCATTGTGTCATTTTTGTTTCATTTCCAATTGTTTTATTAATTTCAGTATTACTTGTACGTACTTTGGCTTCTTTTCTTTTTCTTATGGACTTATTTGTTGGTTTGGGTTTGTATCATGTGTACAGTAATTTAATTGTTATGCATGAGCTATAATTTTTTAGTCACTATGCATGTTGCACATACTTTTTGTGTTTGCTTGAAAGTTGAGCTTTCCTTTTCTTTAATCACAGGTTCCACCAAAGAAATCATTAATTTCCCCCCCTCTCCTTGTATATTGCACACAGATTTAGAATAATGAATGGTATCATAGTCAGCCTGAATCATAAGTCATACATTTTCTTCTAACTGAACTTGGAGTGACATTAACAATGTACATAATATCAAAGACTGTTTTCTATGAGTCCTCCTTGTACTTCTTGTGAAAAGTGTTATATAGATTAAATAGAGATGTAGTGAAATAAGGGTTTATATAAATGTACTAAAGAGGTAAATACTATTTCAGATAAATGTTAAATTTGAATTATGTAAATTATTAGTGTTTGTGTATTTTTCATATTGACCAGATAATAAATTGTAATCTTAATAAGAATAGAGGTCTGTGGTTTATTTGGCCAACACGTATCAAATCTACAAAATGTCCCATTACCAAACATATCAGAAAACAGTAACAAAAAGTAAAACACTCAGAACACTTGACTAGAAAAGTGGCACCCGCTTCGACAGAATACTGACGGCAAGAAAAACAAAATAAACTGTGAAGACAATAGGGATGAATTTGTGGGGGTGGGGAGTTCATGAAGGAGTGGTTCAGTCCGGACGGAACTTGTATGTGTTCTTCCATACTTCGAAGAGGCAGATGGACGAGTGGAAGTGCAGGAAGATGGTGAGCGGGATGGAGGCGTGGGTGAGGACGGTCCAGGGCCAGACTCCGAACACGTTGAGGTGCAGCGGGCGGAACTGGGCGCGACTCTTGCAGAAGGTGGCGACGAGCCAGGCGCACAGGTTGCCGTAGATGAGGAAGGTGATGTGCTCGCGGCCGGGCTTGTCGCTCCACTGGCGCTCGCCCACGCAGCGCGTGTGCCACGCGCGCAGGATGAAGTGGGTCTGGATGCCGGCGTGCAGCACGGAGAGCACCTGGGGGGCAGGAGAGGAGACTCGAAGCCATACGTGTCGAAAACGAACGAAACGGAGAGGAAAATTTGCAATCTGAATGCGTTATTGAAGCGCTTTCAGCTGCATGCTGCATGACAGCGTTTTATAGGAGAACACTCTTGGGCGATTTCCAAACACACTTCAACATAACTTTTCATTTTTTTTAAAGTAGGTACGCGTGTTCTTAAAAGTTTCGTTACGTTACGACCCCGTGCTCCGAAGCGGATCACACAGACAACTGCTGGCAAGGAGCCAGACTGATGGCGTTATGCCTCAGATATCGACAACACACCAATGTTGAGACATTTCTGTCGGGGCCAGGAAGGTCCCCCCCCCC